TGGAAAGACGAAGGCTCCATAATTCACACGGAGCCGAAAGATTCAGCGTCACGATGCGCCGAACTCTATATTTGTCTCTCCGACGGAGGCTGCGTCGGAAGAAGTTATCCCAGGCGCGGTTCACCACGCACTCTGGGGCGCCTTACCTGCTAGACTCGAGCCTGAGGTGCCCCAGGTGGATCCGTCAGAAAGTACTCGATGGTCGGACAGTATCGCGAGCGCTGGCGCGAAAGCATGCGGCGCGGATCTCGCCGAGTACACTTTCGTTCCGCGCGTCGTAAGCAACGCGCTCGTACAATAGTCGCTCGTTATTCGAATCGTCTCTTCGCTGACACGAGAATGACAGATTAATTTTTTTTTTCCCAACGTCGAAGAAGAAACATCGATTTCCTTAAAGTCGCTGAAAATTGATCTCACAATCGTGTCGATTTCCGCGAACAGATCTCTGGGCGTATCTCGCGGAAACAAGCGCGAACAAGTGGAGTGTATAGGTGAGTGTAAACAATCGGCGTGTTTTCTATACTCTCACGTTACCCTATCTTGCCTTCCTAAAAATTTCACCTCGTGTTCTAACAACCTACGCTCCCGATCTCTCTTTTATGCGTGGCGCCGATAGACGCGTGTGCATTTCGCATTTATCCGAGAAAGGATCGGCCGACGCATCGGCGAACGGCTTTTCCTCGTCGAGGATATTACGTGAGTGGCATTGTCAGGCTCTTACATAACGAGTCGTGCGCGGCAGGAGTGATGAGAATCTTCCCAGTGCACCACGATTATTCGAGCGTTCGATATATAAACACGCGCGTTTATATCGATTTCGAATTGTATTTTCCCGCGATCAGTTTCGCTGATAATTATCGGCCGCCGCGAGTGATCGACCTCAAACTGTATTTGGCGTGAAAGCCAAGGTGCCCGTTCCCGCTGATAGATCCTCAGTGCCGCGCGCGGTCCTAAAATGGATTCGAGCGCGATCGAACGAGCCCGCTTCGCATTTTCAACCAAAATGGCGACGTCCTTGGCGAGGTCACGTGTCCAGCGTTGGTGTCCACTTGTTAGAGCCATCGCACGCGCGCACTCTTAGAAAGAATTGTCACTTTGAAGAGCGAAACCTTACTCTTGAAAAGATTGCAAAATTAAGCCACTCTTTTACAAAACTGGTTCAATTTATATTCTTTAGACGAGATTTAAAAGAATTTAGAGAACAAGAAGCGATCGTTACGTCTTTTTCTGCTGCATCCTTCTTTATGCGTCACTCTCTAAATTTTTTCGAGGTGAATCTTACACTCTAAAGAGTGAAATCTTTAAAAGTAAGATTTTACTCTTCAAAGTAAGATTTATTCTAAAAATTTTAGAGAGTACGTGTTGATATAAGGCATATAAGACGCAATGTACTTATACTGTGGTTCTTAGCCGCTCTCGCTTAAATCGCTGATTTTCGCGCGTCTCGCCGCGCGTTGAAATCACCGCGACAACACGCGACTCGACGCACCGCGGCGGGCCAGCCATGATTCAAATATCCCGCGTATAACACTTCATCTCGATCTATTTAACGAAGGAGAGTTTCGCCACTGTCGATTAACGTTAATTTATAATCTCCCGTTGTCCGCGTTGCGTTTACGCAGCGATCAGGACTACAGAAGTGGTCAAAGTTAATGAGACGTTAGTGAAATCTCGTCGCTGTTGCTTTCCGAAGAAATGCAGGCGTATGGATGTTAACCATGAACTTCTTCGTGTCAATAAATAGCACATTTTTTGAAACTTTATTTACTCTAAAGCTTGTAAATCTAAAATAAATTTTTATCGAACAGATTAACGCTGGATTTGACAAAACTTTAGATTTACAGTATTGCTAGAAATTTGTAAAAAGTTCGGTACTAATCTCTTTGTTTGATTTTCACAAATGTGAAATTGTGAGAAATAAGTTTATATTTCAATTTATATATGTATATCAGTATATGTCATATATTTCAAAAATTCTGAATTATTTTATCTATTTTTGTAAAGAAACGTGTCAGAATCCATTAACAATTCGATCGTAGATGGAAGAAGAAATGAAATTACTATACTTTCCATTAAAATATACATATATAAGTAATGTCCCATGTAATGGTATTTTATGACTTATTACTGTCAAGGATGGTTATGTTATTCCTTAAGTGAATTTTTTACTGTTACACACGACGAGTTCATGCTGTCCTAGACAAAGTGCGTGAAATGTCACGGACTTTTCGAGTTATTCGCTTTTACACGCTGACGCATCTCTGACGTCACACGCATATCCAATAAGGTGAGACTAACATGGTTGTATGGCGGATTACCAAAGAAGTATGTTGTCAATGCAAAGTGCATACTTTAGATCTATTCATGAGATATGTTTATTGGTATGTTTACGACCTCCGTTAAGACGGCAGAAAAGCAGAGAAACAAAGGATTGTTAATTTTTAAAACATACTTATGAAATAATTTTTACACGTACGTATAGTGCGTCGAGCACGTCGAAGTATCAAATATTCGCAAAATTTAATTTGTTACAAAAATTAATTTTCTTATTAAAACTTTTTGACATTTTTTATATTATTAATTAAACGTCATGCAATTGAAGGACTTGTAATTAACAATAAATAAGTTATAATGAATACTTATTTTAAGAAGGCATCGAATGGCTCACCGCTCGATGCGATTGACTCATGATCGAGTTTAATCCCATCTGCGGCCACACGAGATTTTTCGCGTGTAAGGAGCCGAAAAATTGCTAACCTGGTGATTAAAGAGATCTATAATCACCAGCGCCGTTCGAATCCGGCGTTAAACTGTATAGGTCCTCTATATAAAAGTATACCGAAGAAGGCAACGGGAAACTACTTCGGTTTATCATATTTAATTCCCAGGATATCATTATGGCAAGGAAATGGCTGGAATTGATTAAATGGAATCAAAAATTCCTATACAGGATTAAAGTAGACGTAGAATTAGGAGGTGCTGCATTGGAATTTATGCTAAAATCAAAAAGAAAATAGAAATTTATTTAACTCTTTCAATTTTAGTATAAATTCCATTGCAGCACGTCTTAATTTTGCGTCTATTTTAATTCTACAAAAGGATTCTTTATTTCATTTAATCAATTCGGAGATTTTTTTTATACGACTATAATGTCAATAATTTGGTCACTCCAGCATGGTCCTCTTAATAAATTATATATGACGAGTGGACTTTGTGTATATATCTCAGGCATCTATAAAGTACTTAAAAATTACATTAAACACATTTAATGTGCAGTCGTTTCAAAACCACACTTTACGACCATAGATCCTAAAAGATAGAAAAAGTTTAAATACTTACACATACCTGTCCAGAGTCTGAGGTGGGGACAACGCGTGCGTAATTCCAACCGCAAGGACGCAAATGTTCAGAGGCGTAGGCAAAGCTCTTCTTAAAATGGATTAAATTGCTCCATTCGTGAATCTTATCGTAATGAAGCGACGAATGAGACGATCAAGATAGACCGCTCTTAATGCCAAGCATAATTAGAATTTGAAATGTTACAGAAATAATATATAATCTATATATATATATGGGCATTTGTTACACGAAAAAAACAGTTTTGCTGAAGTATTAAAAAAATTTAGCTAGACACACAGATCTAAAAATAATTTCATTGAAATATCAAAATAATTATAAAAAACGCTCAAACTAATTATTAGAATGTTAAAATTGTTTGCAGCACTGCTTATCACGTTCAGATTTTCCGACATTATTATTTTGACGGTCCAACAAAGTTATTTTCAGATCTATGTCTATCTATCTAAATTTTTAGATATTTTTCATCAAAAATTGTTCTTTCCATATTCTGATTACAGTATAATCTAACTGCAATTAGAAAATTTGTAAACCTTGTGTAATTTTTTTTACATTCTTCCGTATTGTAGTATCATAATGTTCCACTATTCCTCTAATTCTACTATCTGATTTGTGCAGTTTCTGAAATTATTATCTCAATAAGAGCCGCCGCGAGAAATTAATTGTGCCTGAATTGCGCGTCATTATTTCGGATTCGGATGAACGGACGACTCAATCAGCACGCGAGCTCTCCGAACAAGGACTCGCGAATGCTTGTGAGAGAAGTCACTTACGCCATTGACATTATAGGGCATAGAGCAACCGGCTGTACGTGGTGTCTTTAGCCATCTCGATATCGTATCACGCGTATACCATATCGAGGTGGTTGCGACCACAGGCCCGCGTGCCACCGCGGCCTTCGGCTTCTCTCTCTACGCAGAGAGAGCTTCCCGATGAATTATTGCACCTCCACGAGCTGCGTGTTCCTCACATGTGCGTCGACGTAGCGGAAGAATGAGAAGAGGGATGGCGCGCTCGCGGCGGCAAGACTAATATCTTGAATCGAATCCCCGTATTATCGAAGGAAACCGTGCTGTTCTTAGCGTCACCCGGAGATCTGACGTACGAAATGTCAGACAACCGTAATATTAAACTTAATCTCCTCGTAGATCTTTAATATTACACAAGATGATTCCCAAGCAGAACACTGCAGATCACGATTTATGTTAACGTCGAAATGACGTTAAAATGAATCGCGATTGAACGAAACGTGGATTTTTAATTAATTATCTTGTAGCCATTTCAATGTCATTTTGATATCGAAATACATTACGTTGTTTTGGATAACTTTTTATTTTGCTTGGGTCATTAAGAGTGTAAACGTCAAAATATTTCACGCTTTACTATCTTCATTTAAGTAAAAATAATATCATTTAATTGAAAAAGATATTGTGCTATATAATTTTCGAAAGTTCATTTTATTAGTACCTTCCTTTTCAGCTTTCGTACTTTTTTAATACAAATTAATTATTATTTCGATTGTAATAGAGCGTGAGAAGAAGCATTATATTGCTCACGTCTGGTCTGTCAGCTGAATTCCTCCTTGCAACGACGGGTCGAATAACCAGGCAGAAACATCAGGACCACATAGCAGACATGATCGAATGATGGAGGTGATTTCGACACGCCGATACGAGGCCCGTCCACCGGCGAATACCCACTCCTCTATTCTCGTGAGTAACATTTTCTCTGACCTCTTCAGAATGCATTTTCTCAGATACTTACGCGTTTCTCCTTCAGAGTTCACGTTCTCGCGTCTACGTTTTCTATATTCGAAAATTCTAATAAACGAACAAGTACTGGAATAATGGGGGGCAATTGAAAGTTAGCGTTGTAAACAAAAAGTTCTTTTAAAAATAACAATACGCGTAATTGCAAAATTAGACATTTCAACTCTGATATATGAAATATTGATAAAATAACGAATTATTTAATCTTGCTGATCTGTTCCGGTCTATTTATGAACTAAAATATAATTTATTTTCTTAGAGATCCTAATGTTTTATTGAAAAATATTTTTCTCTGTATTTGACCTTCGTCTGTTACGTCTGTTTTATGTGAAATCTTTTTATTTTTTAAAGCATTTTAATTATATTGATCCAAACGATATGATTATACAGTAAATTTAAGTAGACCAGCAGAGAGAGAGAGAGAGAGAGAGAGAGAGAGAGTTAAGAATAGATCTAAGAAATTAACATAGAAATTTGTTGAAAAAAAAAAAGGTAGATTCGGCGAACGAAAGATTGATGGATATTTATTGAATAAAATATTCACATTTTAATGGATAAAAATTCGTCGATTTATTATTTGATAAATTTTTGTACATACAATTAATTTGTTTTTCTCTATAATATTTTCGCCTTAAATTCTCCAGCACATTAAATATTTCTGAGAGATTAATTATTCTTGATCGATTGTAATTCGTATATTATAATTGTGTCGTACACAATTCCCTGTAAATCACTCACGCGTTTATTCATCAGAGTTGATCTTCCAAATGATCTTACTCCACGTTCCTGTCGGATCGGAATCTGCCGGGTGTCGGTCAGAAGTTTAGTCGCGTGTAACATGGAGTAAGAAAGCGGTTAAGGCGAAGTTATTTGCGGTAGACGTATTTCTCGCGATACGTAATTTCCCCAGAATGTCCTATGCCGAAAGGAATCGCTTCTTCGACGGTCCCGCTCGTAAGCGGATTTACATACGTATTGTTTCCTTTTTCAGGTTGACCCTGAGAACTCCGTGGCATTAATCAAAGAAGGTAAATTCCTTGAACAAAAATCTTAATCTACGAACAAAAATAGTGATCTGTCGGCCGTTTTATACCGCCAGCGTGTAAACTGCAAATTTATTAAGACGCTGCTATTAATATATACTGAAATAATTTATCATAACTCGACGAATAAAAAAAGAGCATAAATAGTCCGCATGATAAATATGAAATAATAAATACATATTCTATACATTGTCAGTATACTTATAAAAAACTATTTTTGCTAGAATATCTTTTTTCATTTTCCAAGAGCATATTTCTGTTGTTTTTCGAAATGCACTGGCAATAAAACTGAAAAGAAACTAACTTAGGTACTACAAGAGATGTACGACCCAAAAATTTTAGTATCTAAATGAATCTATACCTGTGTCAAACCTTTTTATCTTATCGCTTCAACGAAAGATTAGATATTGTGAATTAGGCATTTTAGAAAAGTAAAGAACCTTTTCTATCAGTTCTATTTTTTTTTTTTTTTACAAACATTACGATCGCAAAACTGTTTACTCAAAGTATATAACTGTTATTTCGCTCATTCGGCATAGCGAGAAGTGCTTGCAAAGGCGCGATAGTTGACAGCAATGTCGACAGAGGCATAAAGCCACCTCTCCCTGTGCCATCGACTCATCACCGGCGTTTTATGTCCGTTTGTTCGGGACCGAGAAATTAGTTTTGCGAAACAATGCCGGTGTTGCGAGTCAGGCTGAAAGAATGCCCGCTTCCGCCTTTCAGAGGAATGGGAGACCCGCAAGAAAAAGGAGATTACCACCACGCGGCAGATCGAGACGAGGGTGAAGCGACAGGTTGTCCTCGAGGACGGAGAAGTCGTCGTCGACTCCGGACCTCTTGTCACCACAAACACAACCGAAGACGTCGAGCAACAGGAACATACGACTCAGGAGGTTCGCACATTTGTCGAATATCTTAGTCAGTTAGTATATTCTCTGAGACTCTTTTAGAATGAATCTCACTCTGATGGGTTACATCTAAAAAATTGAAAATCGATCCGTTTCTTTTTTTTTAAATCAATTTTCATTCTTTACAATGAGAAGAAATTAGAAAGTAAATGACTCAAAATTAATTCAATATTAACAGAAAAAAATAAGTTTACTGAAATATATCTATAAAAATTAAATATACAGATCTGAAAATAATTTTCAGTTGAACCATCAAAATAAAAAACTCAAGCATAATGAGAAATGCTGCAAAAATTTTGATATTTTCTAGTAATCATCTTGAATGTCCTAAAAATTATACTCAGATAGCTAAACTTTAGCAAGATCGTTATTTCCATGTATAATATACAGCATATAGAAATGGTATAAATAATTTGACCTCTTAAAATCTATTGATAATAATGCTAAATTATTCTCATATCTCTCAATTTTTTCTGTTATTTCTGCCCTTCCGTGTAATAATCAACAAAATCCCAAAATCGCGTATTATTAGTCGCAATAACTTTTACGAGAGATGAGTAACAGTTGGCAGAATTTTCTTCTTTCACAATTTTTCGACGCGCGTCCATTGTTCATTGATTCCGTATACATTTCGCGTATATCAGAATCGGCTCTCTTTGTAGTATTACGCGCCCGCGTGTAAGGAAACGTGCTTTTAACTGGTTCGCGAACCGGTGTTTAGAGACGCACGACTGGGGATCAACCGCAGGAGGTCGACTGGCGGCCGGCAGCAGGTGGTACTGTGACCGGAAATGGCGGTAACGTCGTGCAAAAGGAGCTGAATGAGACGGTGGTGAGGAGCCGCGAGGAGATCGAGGAGAGACTCGAGACGGAGGATCGTCAGCAGTTGGGAGATATCTCGGACGAGGTATATATATGCACCCGCGACACACCCACCATCTGAATTCCACCTGCGCGTGCCGCGGGGTACACGCGGCTGTATGCGCATTCTCTTACCTGGCGTCACGCGCCGCGGAAAGGTCGCGCTGTTTGTTCTCTATGGAGACTCGTCCTGTCTGATAGCTCGCACGAGTCGACGTGTCTCAAGCTCACTGAGATTCGGTCAGCATGGCGCCGGATATATTCACTTCACTGTCGTTACGAAATTATTTCAGTAACTGAAGAATTATAAAGAGAGCACGTGCGAGCGATGTTTCTATATAGGAGGTCATAACGTCGCACTTTTGCTGAAATTACGATTACGATATTTTCTACATACCAAAATGCTGAAGTATCTAAAAGTTTTGGTAGACACGAATCTGAAAATAATTTTGTTGGATCATTAAAATGATTATGCAGGAAATTCAAGCGCAATATATGTAGAATGTTTCGACAATCTAGTAACCATAGTTTGAGCATCCTGCTATAGGCTATGTTCAGATTTCCATCCGAGTATCATCCAAGTGTCATTTTATTCTTGTTATTTGCCGAATGTGCAAACAAGGATGACATCCGGGGAACACCCGAGTGAGAATCCGGAGCACGCTTCTACTAATAATTATTTTTATGGTGATATCTATAACATTCAGATTTGTATTTAGTTAATATTTTAGGTACTTTAGCAAAATCGTGATCAATCAAGAAGCTTACATTCAGATTAGAATCTTCTCTTTATTTTATTAATTTTTAAAATAATATACTTATTTACTCCTGAAATAATAAATCAGTTTTTGATGATATTTTATTATCGCGTTTATATTACTTCTAATCTAATCATAAATTATAGACAGATAAAATATCACAATTCTGGAAAAAAAATAGTTTATCTCATACTTAATTTCTATTTCCTTTCTAAATGAAAAGTTTTTAGAAGTTTTAAAATGTCTTATGTTCAAATTAAAATTCCTTCTTCGTTTTATCCATTTTTTTAAAATAAAATAATAACACACGTCTATTTCTTCTTCAGAAATAACACGTCAATTTCTGATAACCATTTTATTATGGCATGCGTTTCTGAGATGCTAATCACAAACTATAAATCAAGAATGTAGTTTGACGTTTATGTCGTTTGACGTGGTAATAGCGATAGATCGTCACGTTTCAAGTGTCATAATAACACACTGCACGTTTAACGCGTGTTAGCGCAGCTAGACAAGTCCGAGAATAGCTCGGAGTACGGAAAAAAAAGCTCTCACTCTCCCCCGATACCAATCTATGCGGCATGCAATCGCATCCGCGTAAATCGCAACGAGGTTTCACAAACCTCGCGGGGATACCCGGATTGCGAAAGACGGGCAACAGGTATAATACGCGAGAGAGGAGGCGCTCTCGCGCGCATGAACGATTCAGGACGGAGGAGGTCGAATCGCTCTGGGACGAAGAGGACGATGGAAGGACGGAGTTAAACGGCGAACGGGTACTGGCGAGCGAGAGAGGGAACGGGAGAGCGAGGGAGAGGGGGATCGCGAAAAGCAAGAGACAAAGAGAGAGAGGAAGAGAGGGAAAGGGATCTCGAAGAAGTGGAAGTCGATGATCTCTCGATTTTGCACTCCCTTCACCCAATGGCGATGAAGGAGCCATGAGATGCCCGCAGCCGCAGTCGCAGCAGCTGTTCCGCACGTCTCTGGACCGCGGCGGGTGCGATCAGCCGCAAATCCGACCGCGATAATAGTGTCCTGCGTACGTTCTCACCGGGTGAAATTAGCACGGGGGTGTCCTCGCGCGAAAATTCCTCGGAATTCATTCGCTCTTCTGTGTGGTCCTGCGCTCCCCTATAGTCTCAAGATTACTCGTCATCGAACAGGACCAGTCGTCCTCGCGCGAGAGATGCCGGGACAACCGCTCCGCGGAAAAAAGACACGCGCCGCTTAATCGGAGCCGGCTGGATGTATCGTGTCTCTTTAGCGACGTAATTGCAGGTATAATTAAGGTATAAATTAGTCGCATTGTCGTATCTGCATTGAAGTTGCATTGGATCGCGGACTCGTTCCGAATAGAGATTCTATAACGCGGTTTTAAACTCGAGATAGCATACTTTTGATCTACCTGTCCTTTTGTCAAATTCATTAAGTTGGAAGGAGTCTCAAAGAACACACCAAGTCAAGGAAAAGTTAAAATGATGATTTTTTATTTCTTTTTTCTTACAAAATTGTTTATTGACGTTAAAAATCAAAATAAAATCATTTTGATTTTTCCGTTGACTTTTATATATTCCTTGGAGTAAGATAGTATGAGTATAGCATATAATATAAAAAGAAACTCTTCCTTTTCACTCTTGTTTTGACAAAATTGCTTGTGGTCAGACTATAGAGTTTCTAGTTCCGAAATACATAATGCGCCCGCTACAAATAGATCAAATATCGGATCAGGTTCGACTGAAATTGAGTATAGTGTTACATTCGGCAAACAGTTTTCTCAGTGTCTGTATCGCGGTTCGTCATGCTCGTCATCGTCCTCGGCGTGTTCGAATACTGAGTCGTTCTTTCGACGAAGAGGTCAGAGAATCGTGTCGTGTCATTTTAAACGGCACTTTGCATAACTTTTAATTTAATTGCCCGATGACGTGTATACACGTATTTCTTAATACATAACTTTTCGAGATATAGATGTCAGTTGAACATAATTAAAGAAATCAGTGCAAATGTTGAACTTGTCAGATGTGATATTTTAAAGGAAAGTTATAAATATATAAAAATAAATCGAGAGAGAGAGAGAGAGAGAGAGAGAGAGAGAGAGAGAGAGAGAGAACGTAAAATAATTCGATAATTCAAACAATGTTAATAAATATAATTAAAACATGATGTATTTTTATTGGCAGTTATTTATTAGATGGCCATTATTGATTTATTTTTTATAGAAACCGATCAAAAGAGCAGTAACCGCTAGTTATTAATGGCTTTGATTTTCTGTTGTTATTAAGTTATTTAAATCCTCAGTCTCTGTATGTTAAACATCTATTAATTAATGCTTATAAAGATCGCGATAATCTTTTTATTTATTAATCTTCCTTTCTCATTTGTGGTATCTTTACATATTTATCAGTATATAGATTGCGCGAACTTGTTCCACGTTATTATTTGTTGTTGAACGTCACATCCCTTTTTAAAAGCAGTGTACTAATATTTTCATGGAAGAAGGAAGGAACAGGCAAGGCCATACCAGTCGGTTTCATTGTGTACAAAGAAAAATGACTTGCAGAGACAATAATTGATTGCGAGTGTCTGGCAAGGGTTAATGTAGGCTCACATCTGGTTTTCAGGCATACCAGAAGGCGGTGCATAGCAATAGGGGTGACTTACGGGTCGCTCTCGCCGAATCTTCGAAACAGTTGGCGTCACAATCCGGTCCACGGGTCATCCAGCACACGACTAGGTCAAACAAAGTCATCGACACCGAGAAGACCTTGGAGAAAAAGGAACTGAAGGCTGACGGATTAATCGTTACCGAGAAGAAGCGAACGGTCGAGCACGAAGAGGTGAGTCGCGAGAGCAAAAACTGGTTAATATACTCGCTGTCGTCATTTTTCTCTTCTTGTCTCTCAGTTTGCCTTTGGTAGTTTTACAAATTGTAAGACTATTCAATAATATGCGTAAAACACTTAATAATACATAATTAATATATTTCTATAATTACAATATCAAATGAATATCGGTGAAACAAGTAATGCGATCGTTTCTGCTTCAGATTAAAGACGACGAGGTTCCGGACGACGGGAGGAACGACGACGACGCCTCTGAAACGAAGAAGGAGAGCTCGCAGAGGTACATCAAGAAAAGAGAAGAAGACGTGGTAGACTACATCTCGGCCGGCGAGAGAGTCGGCCGAGAAATGCGCTACGTTGCAGAGACAACCGAAGGAGAACGAATAGGCGACTGGTCACCATCACCGACGGGCATGCGGACGACTCGTTTTCACAAGTATCCCGGTACGTGGCCTTTCTCTATTGATTTTCTATCGCCGCGTTCTACATATTTACGAATGGTTGACCAGATAATCAACGGATAATTGCGAGTTCTCAAGTATGACAGTTGATAAACTAACTGCGAATTGCCTTCCGTCCTCAAGTCTACTAGATGTTATCTTTAATGAAAAAATTTACATTCAACAAAAATTATTATCACACACTACTCGAAAGATTAAAATTTATTTTAAAATATATAAAGATATATATCGTATATTATATGTGTATATATATGTATATATATTTTACTATTAATATGTTTCTTTTCTTAAAAAAAGATTATTGCTAATTGTTACAGGTTTCTCGGATGCCGCTCGAAAAGATGCCTTGACGAAGAAACCGTTGGACCTCGAGGAAGAGGACGAGGCGAGAAAATTCGAAACGTCCAAGTGGCTGGAAAGCCATTTTGGCAGCGATTCGCGCTCTTCGCACGGATCCCTCGATGCCGATGACTCTCCTCTTCCGACCAGCACTAACACGAGCTACATCAATGTCACCATGAAATCCTGCACGCCGAAGGAGCACGATTATCAAAATGCAAGTTCCAGCCGTAATCAACGACGTGGTCGAGAGACAAATAACTCGCCTTCAGGATATTTTCATGGAATCAGCGAATGGTCGGAACGGTATCAAGGAAAAGGTATGAAAAAGAAATTTATTAAGAAAAGTACTTTTTCTAGTTGTTGCTAATGTTCTCTCTTAAAACAGTTTCCTTCTAATTTCACATATTGCAATTTATTTGAGATTTTGAAATTTAATATTTAATATTATTCTCACATATTATAATTTAAGTAAAAGATTTTACGGAGTAATTTTTTCCAGTAATTTAAAAAGAAATCTTATTATATATACATGAAAGACTATAATATGTCCGAAACGGCTTAATTTCAAAAATAGGATGTCAAAGTTGAAGAAAGATTTTTGTTTTTCCAAAAATAACCATTCAGGTTACTTCGATGACAAACTTGAAACTTTGTGTATAAATTTCAATATATTATAAAAGCTCGTTTTTGTTTTGAGACTATACATTATTTTTTTTATTTAATCAGAGATAGGCCTAACAATAAGAATAATTTATTAAGCCGTGTCAAACATGTAATCACATAACATTTTTGCTGCATTAATATGTGAGGAATCGCCCTTTCAAATATTTTAGAATATTCGACCATCTTGTTATAACATATTATTTTTACGTGTAATATAAGTTTGTAAATCTTTTTTTAAAAAAGATAACAAAGATATGTTACTACTGAAGTTTAGAAAATAACCTTAAACATATTTTAATATATATATATTACAACTTTATTATGATAAATATTAAATGATACACGAAATGGAAATGTAAATATAATGTATTCGGCACAGAGAAGCAAAATCATGCGCGATCAAACTCTCCAGTTCGATACGTGGAATCTTCACGTACCAACGGACATGCCCACGGGCATAAGAGAAATCAAGTTGAATCATCTTATTCGAAAACTTACGAATCGTTCCGACGTGAGTATCAGGATTCCGTCGAAGAACGACAACGTACACCTTCCCCACCGATACGTCGAAGATTGAAAGAACAAGTACGAAGGTTTCTTCATTATGCTAATAGCAATTGTTTTTGCATTTACGTTGAAAAATACATTAAAAAGTTTAGCTTATATTCTGCAAATTTTCTCTTTTGTTTATTACAAATATAATTTATAATTATTTATAGTTTATTAAATTTTAATTTATATTGATCTAAAATGTTTCATTGTTTCGCTGCATTACAGCAACTAAATTATTGATAATCTTTTATAGTGGGCGAAACCTGAAGAAAAGGTCAGTTCGAACGAACTTCCATCAGGTCGTACTTCAAGTCCGGTACACGTGGTACAAAGAACTTGGGAGAGTCGTAATCGCGACGTGCAAGCACAAACATCTGAACGCGATTACAGAAGTACCTCGCCACGATCTCGATCGATCTCACCGAAATCGCCGATAAATAATCGCGAAGAGAAAAAGTCGGATAGTTCACGAGCATCTAAAGGTAAGTTTTTTTCGTAATTAATTGCAGAAAACAATAAGCTATAGAAATAATATTCATATTACAAATTCATGAGTGTAAACATTAAAAATATTTTAAATTAAATCAAATCATGATTACGATCGAATTTAAAAACAATCTGATAACAGATAAGTAATAAAACAAAAGCTGGACTAAGGCCCGTATTTATAGTCGTGTTTCTGTTAAGAAAGCCAACTGAAATTAATTTTGAGTCGTGGAACAGTTCAATAGACGAATCTTGAGAGTTGATTTCTTGACATTTGTAATTATGACTCAAATGAGGAATTCAAATGAAATTTGTTACGAGATATAACTTCCCAAGTAACATAAAGCTTTGAAACGTCTGCGATAACGTTGTCTCAGCACTTAAATCGCAGCATTTTTGTCTATGACAATCACTGCCATAACATCCATTATCATATTGTGACAAAGTTGTAGCAGCAAAAATGGGACATTTTTGGGCTTTAAAGACAATGTCGCAGCCATTCACAGTAAAAGCAAAGGCTATATAACGTTATACATATAGCCTTTACTTTCGCTGTGACATACAAATTACGGTTGGATTATAGCTACCGGTACAGCCAAAATAGCTGTGGCTGCATTTTGATTTTTCTATTAGCTGTCATAATGATTACGCAACTATTAATACAACGAAAATAGTTTTGGCTGCCAAATAGCTGTAATTAAAACTGGCAGGATGTTATACTAGCTACATTTTTACTGTCGCAGCGAACATAGATCGTGTTACTTGGGTTGAATACTCTTTTTCACGATTCAATAGTCAAATTTTGAAACAAGATCTCGTAACACGTATTAATAACCCTTTAAAAAAAAATAGTGAAAAGTAATGAAATTCTTTTTTGTGCAAATATATTAGCTTGTTCCATTTTTTAATTATTGTGTTTTATATTGACGTGTCAGTAACTTGATTTCAGAATGGTTACTTTCAAACAGATAAAAAACATATAGTTTTAATCGATATCTTCAATATCAATGACATTTTAAGTATCTCGCCTGATACGCTCTTGAGATATAAGATTTGAGAAACGACTACAAATACGGGCCTAAAAACAAACTAATATAATAAAAGTCGAATAACATTAAAGAAGAATAACGTATCATCAACGTTGTTGTATTAAATATTACTATCTATTCATCTATATAGGTCATGGACCGAAGTATAAGATCGGCGAATCCTTTCGAAAGCTGGTGGGGAAATTACGTTCAGCTAGTACGGAGAGAAAGAACAAACGGGCAAGCGGTGGTTCTACCTCGCAATTGACGCAGACCGACGACAATGGCCCGACCTATTTGCAGTACAACGTGATCGATAGGAACATTCCTTTCGTCAGCGAAAGGGACGTGACGGAGGACAAGCCACCTGAAAGACCACCGCGATCACCGCGAAACGCTAACACGTCGAACAAAGTCACGAAGGTCACCAGGAGGGATGACCATGGTGTCCAGGAATGGCAACGCAGCGAATCCACGCCACCACCCTTGCAGAGGTATTACTTGGGCGAGGATCCTTTCGGCGGCAGTATCTACGGCCGTGAGAAAGGATACGAGAACGACCGAGACCGGCTGCGACACGGAAGACCACGTGGCTCTGGTAAAATTGCCGTAGATTCCGAGCACAGGTAATCGAAGTACTCGATATAATGAGCGAGACAAATTTTGACTGATAAGTTAATCCCCTACTTAAGTTGAATCGCTATGCTTGACACTGCCCCTCATAGTTATTCGCGCTTGCCGAAATATCTTCATATCTTCATTTAACATTGTACAGTGCAATATGGTGTCTTTTGTAAAATATTTTAGGTCTTCTGTCTTTTTCTGGTCTTATCCTTCAATTGGTAAAGAGTTACTACTTGAGGTTTATAAGGGAGTCTATACGAATTAATTTATTATTATATAGACATTAATCGAATGGAATTTATTTCGAAGTAAATAATTTTGATTAAAGGTATATAGAAAAATGAAAGGAGGAATATTATAGAATTATGAATGATGACGTTGATTTTCACCAAGGGAAAATCGATTGCGAATTGAAAGTATGAGGGATCTTAACTTAATCCGAAACACTCTACATAACTATGCATGAAACGTTTATCAGGAATGACGTAGTGTTCCGAAGATATTTCACGCTTTCATTGTCAGTAAAAATTTGTCTCTCGGTCAGAATCTGTCATCATGAAATAGACGACGAACTTGCTATCTCATGTCGCTCGATCGCCAAAGACGGAGTTAGTTGCGCAAGCCTCAGGAACCAAAGTGCGAGATCTAAATCGGGGCCGCTTGGGTATATCTTTAAGTCGCACCTCGGCGACTCCGGGTCGCTTCGATTTCGGGTGAAGGCTGCATGAAGGGGACGCATGGGAATCGAACGCATATACATATGACTCGGTAGGCTCACATTCGATCGTCGCCGCCGCAAACGTCGACGAGAGAAAATCCACACGACTAGGCAATCACCTTTCGGAAACGACCGCGTTTCAGCGTCACCTCCAGCTCCCTCGGCAGATTTAGCAAGTCCACCAGCAGACTGGTTAGCGATCACGAGAGGGAAGATCAGTTCCGGACCACTCAGACGTTACCGCGGAGCCTGCATTCCACCGGTGGTGAACAGTCAGCTCGCTCCCAGACCAGACGATACCAGGCACCGAACATCGGCAGATACGGCAAAATGAGCCAACATCACAGCAGCATGATCAACATATCGATCAAGAACACGGTGAACATGTCGCCCAAAGTGAGCGCGACGCCTGCTTACAGCACTCTTCAAGCTCCGCCGAAACCCGAACGTACGTACAAGTCGTCGCTGTCACGCAGCAAAAGCTTTAATATCGAGGCCAATAAGAACGGTGTCGAAACACCAACCCGTGTACCGTATACCTCCAATTTGCACCTAAATCGCCTAGACGAGACGCCGCCGTTGAAGAGCCCTGGTATTCTTGCCAGCATTAGCCGCAGTAACAAAGATTTATTAAGAGACGGCAAATATTAAGGTAGCCATTAATCACGTAATAAACTGTATATCGATTATTTTGGACGTTAAATTATGCTATCTCTTTCTCTGCAAATATATTATAAATAAAATCTTAATTTATCTTAGAGCGATATAAAACTTAAGAGAGAAGCTACTGATCTAGTAAAGTAAAATAAATTATACATTTGTATTTTATATATATTATAGATTTTGTTGCATACGTGCCTTTTTTTTTATATTCTTTTATCTTTTTATTTCCTCTTTTGCTGTCATTTAAATCTCCTTGCTTTTTTGTTCCCATTCTTAATTGCCTCATCGTGTTTATATTTTTATATTTGTAGATACATTAAATTTTTCAATTTACATATTCTTATTCAACAGTTGACTTCATCTCCATGTTATCATCTGATTGTTATATATTTTAATGTAGGATATGTCGACGTAGCGTAAATATAGATAGATACAGGGTGTCTCAATTTCTTAATAACTAATTAGCATCTGAAATATCTTTGAATCTGTAAAGTCTAGAGAAAAATTTATAGCCAAAATTGAACGGCATAAAGGGGACTATCATATGACGATGATAATTTTTATTCAAGTGGAAGTGCTTGGGAAGATATAAAGGTCGACTTTGTTTTTCTAAATGGAATTATATAATTTTTTATACGTATAATATGTGTGTGTGATTACCGTTTTCTTGATACTTTTAATGAAGAAGAATTAGAGGAATATGTTACGTAAAAAAATTTATATAATTCCGTTTAAAAAAACGATATATATACAGTATACATAGTGGTTATAAATAGAAACTGTTCAAGAAATTAATGAGTATTGCAGTTACAATTTATAATCGTTTTTTATAGACTATTTTCGCGTAGATGGAATAAATATAAGTTCTGTATGAGAGAAAGATATACACGCGACATCGTTCTCATGAATTATTTAATGTGAATTAGATCTGTTAAGGACGTGAAAGCTACGTTCTTAGAAATTAATTATATAGAATATATTAAAGTAGAACCCCGGTAACAATTGCTAAACCTTCTTAGATATTACAGAATGTTTCGTACAATATATTTTTAACGTTTACGTGCCACGTATTTTCGACAGTTAAATTACTGACATTCTCATACAGAGTATGTGAAAATCGTTAACTTTTCGGTACATAATATATACAGAATATTCTTCATTACTATATATTTTATTAATACTTTTTTCGATAATCTGAAGAATTTTCTTATGAGCAATTATGTTAATAAAAACAACAGCTTTGAAAAAAAAGCATCGCAGGATATTCTGTATATTCGTTACCGCGCATAATTTTTATTAACAAATGAACACATATATGTACGCAAGTTTTATATAGATACAATATTATTTATATTGTTCATATTGTTGATTGACAATAATATAAATATACATATAAACAAAAGTTCTCTCTTTTATCTATGTATTTTAATTAAATGCTATATCTTTTATTTAAAGTATATTACGTACATTATAACATAAAAAAATTCATTGGATTGTTTGCGTTGTATAATACAATATAAAAAACATACTTTAATTTATTTCGTTAATATTTGAGAATTTACGTTCATCTAAAAAAAAATCTAAATTATTTATATCACATATCCAGCAAATGCAACATATATGTATAAATACACATATTATATATATATCTATGTTTCATTATTTGCTGAATATTTACTTTGTATAAATTTTATAGAAATAAAGAATAATATCATAAAAAATGATTAAAATACTTATTTGATCGATCGCAAAAAATGCAATTATTCTTTTTCATTTTTATTTCACCTTTTTATGCATATCGTCTGAAGATAATTTTTGGAATTTTCGAAACTTTTTAACAGCGAGAAATGTGATCACCATGTTTATAATGTATGTGCTAATACATACAATGCAGATATCTCTATACAGATATAATATACTGCTTAGATATATCGTAAAAATATTAGAAATTATTCCCACAACAACAGTGGCGGCCGAAAAGGTGTAATCATTAATCATACCTGAAAAAGAATTATGTCATTATTACATAAAACGTATGTATGTACAAACACGTAGCCGAGACTGATTGAATACATACTTAAAATTGCAACCAACATATAAAACACCAAACCATATATAGGATTTGGAATGTTAAACATGGAATCTTTTGGAAACAATCCGAATCCCTTGCCATATCTGAAATACGATGCATTATTTGTTATTACTTATTTTATATATATATTTCTGAAATAATTTTACAATTATTTATAATTATCAATTTCGAATAATTTTACATCATCATTTTGTATTTTATCTAAGTTATTCTCGTTACGTTTTGTGGCTCTCAATATAATGGCTTAAAAATTCGCGCGACCGAAGGCAGCAATTATACTAATGGGTAAATACGTGTCATTGCTATATTTCATTGGAGTAACTGTTCGCTCCACTTTTTTTGGTCAATGAACGAGTTCAATGAATGAACAATTTTACATTGCAGAATATTATCTTTTTAGAAATACTAAAGATAAAATAATAATATTCATGCGATATCTAAAATAAAATTTTATATCACAAAATCATGTCCGAAATTTGAGGTCTGTTCGTGTTACTTAAAAAAAAAATCCTCCAAAATTACACTTAAAAGAATAAAGATATATATTTGGACATTAGGGTTTGTCCGCGTTGTTTGCACTTTTTGCATTTAGAAAATCTTTTACTTCTCTCTTTACGATACCCGAATATGTATTTATCTCGTTTTAAATTGTAACTATTTGGGAAATTTCAAGTAACACGAATAGACTTTTATTTTAAATTAAGAAATAAAAGTGAAGGCCGCTGCATAGACTTTGGGCCAATCTCACTAACTCCAATTAACTTGATCGATCGATTATTACATTGAAACTGACTATTGATTTGTTATTCAGCAAAATTGACAAATCACAGCTGACACTTAATCAATCGATTAAGTTAATCGGAATTGGTGAGACCTGTCCTTTGCATACATAACGCATAATATATGGCAATTAATCAAAATCCTTCCTCTCCTTCCATTTCATGGAAAAAAAGAACTTTGATTAGTTGTGAGATTCTTTAATGCAATATACGTTATGTAAAAGTTTGTTCTGCAACCTTGAAAGTGCAGAAGTGAAAAGTGTAAACAACGCGAACAGATCAAACTTTAAGGCAACCGCACATATTTTCAGTAATCGTAACACGTGCCATAAGAATTGGCCAATTAGAGCTGAAAATATTTAATTAAAATTTAAAATTTTGTAATTCTCAACTGTGACTAATTAATTTTCATGGTACATCTTAGGATTATTTTATTATGGAAAGTGTATGCGGCAATCCATATATAGAACCTTTATATTCCACGTGGTAGCCAACGAAAAATGACTTCCTAGATATGTTAACACTCTTTCATATAGCATTTATTCAGCAGCAATTTGTAATTATTTAGAGTGCATTTTATTTCATACACGATGCACATGATGTATCAATTTATTTTTGTTGTCCTTCGAATATTAATCAAGAACAAAATGATACATCATGCCGCATGCGCATCATTCGCACACTCCTAAGGACGGTATTCATAGTCCGTTCTTATTTTAAGTAGAACGTCTTAAGTAATGTCTTCAAAGATGCTAATGCAGCTGTCTGCGATTGGTTCATGACATCTCAAAACTGATCTTAAAACGGTTTTGAATATAAAGCGGGGAGCACAGCCTTTTGCATAACGCATAAACCATATACATAAAGAATTTGATTGGCCCATTTTCTTATGCATGAGTCAATGGACCAATCAAATTCTTTATGTATATGGTTTATGCGTTATGCAAAAGTCTGTGCTCCCCGCTTAAGAACTGACTACGAATACCGGCCTAAGTGTGCTATTTCATGTTGCGTTTTTGAGTGCGGTCGAGTTGCCACTACGAATACTTCGAAGCGTTTCTTGATTGGTTAATTTGTAAAATTCTTTCTTCTGATTGGTTAATCAAACGCTTCGAAGCATTCGTAGTGGCAACTCGACCGCATCCTTTGTCGTACAAATAAAATAGCGGCCTAATGTAATTGTTGTTCACAATCTGTGTGCGTCGTAACATGAAAACAAAAAATATCATTTTTATATAACGTTATACGTGTATTTTATATCGTATTATGAAACAATCAGAAACGATATATCTATATTGCATTTTTGAAAAATTACCGAGGCTCCAATAATTGTATTTATTCACTCGATCTTGAGGATCTTGAGCTTTATACATGTTCATGTAACACGTTCATGCATATGTAACGAATTAATAAGTAAAATAGAGAAGAAAAAAACATAATCTAATAATTGTAATGAATTATATATACACCAAAATGAAGATGCAAATTAACACTCGTTTAATTACGTTGAAGGTTAAATATGATGAATCGTGTTCAAATGCAATTGCACTGATACGATAATACTGGAGCATGCTTGATGCTTACTCAGTCATGAACACTTTGGAACAGCTTATGTGCTCGGAGATGTCGCATAACGGCTGATACGAATCATTTTCTTCCATTTTGACCTCCACGGTGTACACGTAGCACGAAATAACGAAGCCTAGCACGCACATGGACACGATTCCGGCGTTGAATTTTTGCAACGCGCAATTTCCAGCCGCCGTCATTGTGTAGCTCGCGAAGTAGCACTCACTATTGAGTATCGTTAAATTGTTATATCATTGTACATATACATACTCATTGATACTCAATACACTAATAGGACAACTCGTTAATATATCAAGTAGTTCCAAAGATTACTCAGAGATGTTTCAAAAGCAATGTGTCACGCCTAAATAAAACGGCGGTACTGATGAGACAATAGCGAGAATCGATAACCGAGATATTACGTTATGTTAGAAGTACTTTGCTCACCGTCGCGTCGATTCAAGTGTCAAACGTGTGTTCATTAGTGTGGAAAACGATTCTCTCGGGATACCATTTGCATAATATATTTACATAGGATACAATGACTACAAGGATCATTTTTTTTTTTTATCATGCTCTGATGAACTGAACTCTTTTATTTTTTTTTCTTTTGAAGATTTATACATTACTTACAGTAAACTTTAAATTTAGTCTACCTACATATACATACGTACTATCATATATATATATATATATTGAAAAATGAAACTGACAGTGAAACTCGCGACGATGGATATTTATTAAATAAAGCAGCTCTATTTTTAATTTCTCTTGTGTATCACTGTTTTAAAAATAATATCATTAATTGTAAAACTTAAAAATTAAAGTGCTGATTGAAAAATAATTCTGCCTTAAATATATATATCTTATAACGTCGTTTCTTAATATTAATAAAGGATTTTTATTTATGTGCGAAAGAATTTATGTGTCGATTTTTCTACGCTGACATACTACACACTATCTTTTGAGAAATTTTGAAAAATATACATACTGAATACAGACAATGCTCGATAAATAAATGTTAAGATCATGGACTACTTAATTAGTTATAACATATATTAATTATTCGTAAAAAAAGATTAATTATATAAAGAGGTATGAATTAGTTTATAATGTATTATCCACATACAATATCTTTCTCACATATTTTAAATAAGTCAATTTGACGATTCTTGTAACTTATTCTTGTGGAGCCATTGCTCTGGCTTGAGCTTTAACACGTTTCTCATATTCCAAACGGTTTTGGCTACAAAAGAAATTCTCAATTATTCTTCAGCTATCATTAAGTTTGTAATCTGTGAACACGTCTCATAAGTAAATACCAATATATTGTATAAGCTTCGGCTTGAGCTGGATCTTTCACATTTGGCTCGTTCAATAAATCTTGAATACCAAGGAGGATTTGCTTGATTGTGATAGCTGGTCGCCAGTCTTTCTCTTCATCCAAAAGCGACAAACAGACAGTACCAGATGGATAAACGTTTGGATGGAATAGAGGAGGTTCAAATTTACATTTTGGAGGGCTGGAAGGATAGTCGTCTTTGAAAATCATACGTAACTTGTATAGGCCACCTTCCCAAGGAGTCTGCAAAATCATAAGTTTAATACCAATGTTCATAGTTTACTTAAAAGAAATTGACTTACAGATTTCTTTCCAGGTATCGCACATTCCCAACTCATCAAGTTCAGGGAACCATCTGGATTTTTAGTTGGTCTAGCTACGAAGCCCTACAAATAGTTTTTATATTATTTACAGGAAAAATTCAGAAATACATACAGCAAATTTTTAATAATAATAAATACAATACAGGAGTAAGTTTATCTCGAATTTTATGATTCTGTTTTACAAATGTAAAATGTTACACAGTAATTAGAGATCAAATTGTTTGATTCTTTCTACAGACAAGATTAAAATTGCTCGCATGTGTGAAGAAAAACATTAGTTGAGATAAAGCAGATAAAGTTTGACGTAGACTCTTGTTTTTAAGATGTGTGAAATGCCTCGCGGATGATGCAGGGCCATTGTTTACAATCGCGACGAATAACGACGGAGTAACGTGATAATCAGTGTTCTGCCCTGCCGATTCTGCGGCGCATCAAGCGGGAAACCGATGGCGCGTTCCCGCGGGAAAGCATACAACGAGGAGCAGAAACTCACAAACGGATGGTCCTTCCTCCACGCTTTGCGCTCCTCGGCGAGCCTGGCTATTGCTATGCCTGACATTAGTCTTCGACGATGCGGCAGTGATGCGATTTTCAACCCGCTTGCAGCACTCGACGGTAGCGGCCAACTGTCGGCGGCCTGGCGCAACTGGTAGCACACACAAGCAAAGCTCTTCTTCTTCTTCTTTTTTTTCTTCCTTAAATAATGGCTCCCGCCTCCAAGCCTCCAAGCAATGAAATAGAAGGTCGATACGGCCAGATCACGTCTTTAAAGTAAACCGTACAAAAATATGAAAACGAACGGGTGATGCCCGCGAAAATGGCGTTGCCAACCGGTTTCCGGGCGCCTGCGTCTACGGCGTCGTCACGTCGCAATAACGCGCGTCATAAGAGCCCTTAAGTCGTCGAAAAGTGCAAAATGACGAACAATCGGGACGAGCTCATCCGCAGACACGCATCTGTGTGACGCAATGCACAGTCAAAAGTCGGCAACACTTACAAAAATATACAATGGAAAGCACCCGAACCGAAACACGTCCGTCACCGTCACGGTCGAATGGTTCGTCGGAACTCGCAAGCAAAGCACGTGTAGAGTCCTAGATATCAAAGAAGCGCAACCGACTTAAGTCAGTATCGCAAAATTACTAAGAAAAGTAATAAAAATGGCGTCGTTTGCAGACGAAATATGAAATCCACCAATCGTCTATTAGTCAGCCATTTTTAATAACACTGAATGAACGTTATGATTGGCTGACAGTCTGACAGTCAGCTAATCAGGATACGGAACATCGGTTGCGCTATCTCTGATATTTAGGACTCTTCCATCGGAAGTTTTTTGAGAGCAGGCCGCCATGTTCTTTTTTGAGTCACTAATATGGTGGAAATATATAAGGTGAAGCAATCTGATGGATGCGCAGTAGCATAAAAGTAGTGGGGAACGGTGAACCAATCAAATATGCCCGATGATGTAAAATTCAGGGTCGGCGCATGATATAAAGAAAAATACAGAAATACAGAAATATCCTGATTTAGGTTGCAAAACCAAAATGATGGTTCCCGCTGATGACTGGTTTGTCATATATCTCGAGGAAATTGTATTCGTCCTTCTACGAACTTCTTAAGAGTTGCAGAAGCGATGAATACCGAATTTCATTGCGTTTCATGGAAATGATTTCAATGTCGAAGATAAAATTTTTGATAAATTAACTGAAATAGTGTGTAAGAAGATATTGGGTGCATCCAGAAGTGACGACCGCTCACTGAGCGCTCAGTGAGCTTATTTGACGTACTGGATGTGTGTTCACTATATGCGCTGTATCGAGCCGGGATGATAAATATCTGAAATATCTTAACCTGTAGTCTCGAACTCAGCTTAATAAATTCTATGTTCAATTCTTTGTTCAAACTCAAATATAATAATTGATTATAAACACTGGCCTAAAAGTATAGGTAACACTTTGTAGGTTAGACAATACATTTTTTGATTTTTCATAAAACTTTACATACATAAATCTAATCACTTTATGTTAAATTTTTAAGTAGTTACCATGAAGGAAGAAAAAAATTTAACTTACCAATTAAGATAATTAACACAGGACACAGCACATTTGTTTACATATATAAAAATTAGTTACTTTTCTAGTGATTTAACAGAAACAACTAAGCGGAACATATGTGAGCGGAGTGAGCGATCGAAAACTACGCTCACAAAAATGGCGACTGCTCACTGTGAGCAGCTTCGGGAGCGTTTCCATCTAGTCGATAAATCTGGGGTGTTTTCTGAGCGCTCAGTGAGCGGTCGTGCTTCTGGATGCACCCAAAGTATACATTTTCGAGAGAGGTTGTTGCATGTTTAGTACGAACAAGAACGTACACCCATGGTAATTAATTCTGTCCCTCGGAAAATTTCACAAAATAAAAAATGACCACCTTTCTATATTAATTGTCACAATCCATGCACGATTAACGTTACGACCACGGAGTAATAAGGAGATCAAGTTCAAGCGGTCGGCCATGAAAAAGATGGGCTCGAAACACGGTGTCGGAAAAACGCTGTATAGAAGAACTGATCCGAACGCGCCTGTCGGAAAATACATCGAAACACATCGAAATGTAGTAGGTTAGAGAAAGCGAAATATATGTCACGTGACAGTCAATACTTCCCACTTTTCCCACGATGGCGCTAAAATCACATCTTCTTGATTTTTCATGGGGTTTTCCGAAACCGTGTTTCGAGCCCATATTTATTCTCGAGCTTGATCTCCTTATTACTCCGTGGACGCAACACAGCGTCCCACGCCCCAAACCCGTAAAATACGTTTTTCTTGGGGATGAACACAGTGAGACCGTTGTTGCCGTTAAGAAGATAGAGGGTTACGGCGGTTACGCACCGATCGCGTTTGTAAAAACGCCACGAATTCGTTCGCGTGCATATGGTTAGGAATTACGGGAAGGTTTTTTAAGGGATAAACTGAAATATAATGGCGAAGACTCGGCTGGTAAAAAAGGTTTACCGTTTTGGACTAAATGTGCAGACACGGACCAATAGCGTGGATTATAAATTTGTCCAATTCGCTGATTCGCCAGTCCAATATTTCATCGAATATGGCTCGTAATTTGAAAATCTGGTGCATATATAGATGTGCAGATTAGATATTAAAAACAACAGATTTGAATTATTTAAAATAGTTTAAGAATAAAAACAGATTTATGACTTTTATGATTTAAATTCGTTGATTACGTAAGATAAATTAATCTCTGTTCATATTATGTATTAAATAATTTCTACACAAAATGATCACTTTTATTTAATTTTTGAATAAATTCCAGTTAAATTAGACATAGCAGTTTTTTGTTGAATCACACTATATTTATATTATACTTTTATTTTTATAAATAAATTATTTCTATAAGTATTTTCTTGCTAGATTTGACAAACAAATTTATTAGAACTAGCTATCATTCGATATATATTTATACTGTAATGAATTAAATTGGCGTGATCGAACTTTTTAATATATTTAGATTTTCTATTTTTACACACACGTATATTGTTTTAATTCATTCATTAAAAGTTGTCACTATTATAAACAATTTTGAATAACTCGATTCCAATACAATCACATTCAAAAGTTTCTTATTTAATCAATTTTACGTGAAAATCTAAAAAATGTGTTTTTCCTCCTTAATGTTATACCTTGTATATTATTATTCAATATTACCTTAATAACAATAATACCGCATATATTTAAAGATCTTGATAATTTTTTTATTTAATATAATATTCGAAGTATCACATTTTTTAAGTGATACAAAGCTTCCACATACACGATGATTTTTTTTAAATTAAGCATATGTTTGATCCAATTTAATTACGAATTAATTAAAAAAATTTTAAATTATAGACAATAAAAAATATCACAAGCTCAACAATATTACCGCAAAAATATCTTTACATCTTGCTTTAAAAAATCCGAAATTGTAATAACGCGAAAGCATATCGCTTACTGGCTGACACTGTAAATTTCATTGTTTGAAAATTATATTATCACAATATGCATCACTGCACGAGTATAGATCGCATCTCCACGACTGTTATCGCGTAATATGTTCATTACATGTTAAGCCGTTTAAGTTATCCACCTGCTGACACGCCGAATACAGCATCTATTTTCTCATTAGCAGCACTGCCGTTCTGGATACGACACCTATCGCGTTAGCACGTGATGCGGGTGCGTCGTTAAGTCGACATTTCGTTAAAAAAAAAGTTCTAAGTGATACTAAAATTCCATTTCATACCCTTTATAAATTACTGCTGTTTGTGCGAACAACTCGTCAACGTTGATACTTATTTACCGTATCTTAACATTTCATGAGAATGATAGCGCAACGAACTTTTCTGTGAGTATTTATTTATCTTTTGCTTTTGTCTTACAATTTAACGTTGCGCGGATTTTAGTGTAATTTTTTAATCAATTTTGCAAACGGCTTTGCAACTGGCTCCTTTAAAAGTCATGTAAAAGAATTTTAAAATCGTCGTTTTGTATCGATCGATTATCGACAGCAAATCGATTGTTATGACTTACAAATTTACAAAATTTTATGCGTTAACAATTTTATGATACATTGCAATATAAATGTGTTAACAAATAAATATTATTTACCAAAACATTAATATTTAATTTTGACTATATTTGCAAATTGACATACATTTATTTTCATCGATTTAGATTTACAAACAGATACTATTTTGTATGAATAATTATATGTGTTGCAATTATATATATAGAAGAAGGTATACTTTATTGTTGTACTGGTTAAGACTTTTGTTTATTCATACTATCTCAAAAATTATAATGTTAGAAGCGCAGAATAAGAATTTGTGCGCAAATCATATATATTTAAATAGAAATATTTTTCAATAAAACCATATTTTTTCAATTAACAGAATAGACTTACAAAATATATCAAAAACTATTTTTGTATTTCAAAAAGAAGTTAACAAAACAAAAGGAGAGTTTTTGGTGTATATTTTATAAGTCGGTTCCATTAATTGTAAATTTTGTTTTATTGAAACATATTTTCATAACATACTTTGGAAGAATTTTTTACGAATTTTCTTGCTTCTAATGCCACAATCTGAGATCTAGTATAGTAAAGAAGCCTTAAATTTCTGAATGTTTTTCGAAAGACGGTCCACTGTTAAGCGGAGAGATAACTGTACCTAACAGTATTTACGCAATATTTAGTACCAACGCGACAATGGTGCGACAATCAAAAATGAGATCAAGACGAAGACATTCGTATCGCGTAATTTGTTCATATTCGTTTGGGGTATTTAAGCCGTTAAAATTGAATTGTTTAGAAAGCGGCAGCTAATCAATGGCGAAGGTGTTTCAAGCACTGATAAGTTAAGACGATCGCGGTGCGCATCAAAAGCTAGGAAGACAAATACGAGATATTAAATTATGTACGTAAGTCAGTTTAATGCTGGCGAATATAATGGTACATCGGTCTCGTTATCGTCTTACGCAAATAACGAAGCTGCCAAGTAACAAAGATTATAAATCTCTCATGCTCGCCTATCGTGTACCATCTATTTACTTCCGCCGCACGCTTTCGCGAAAGTTCACGAATTGTGTAACATTGTTAAATAAACTGTTATTTCACGATGAAATAGAATAAATTATCTCTGCGCGATCACATACGGATGTTTAAACATGATGAACGCAAGAAACTAGTCCTGATTTCATGAAGAAGCATATCTAACGTTCGCGAGAGATAACTCCGCGTTAATTCAGTACCTTCTTACACAATCAAACCATTTTATTTACAGAATCGCGTTACTTTTTATACATTTATATTTTTCACATGGCTTCACGAAAGACGACGATATTTGTTATCATCCGTACTCCAACATTCACCCTGAATGCGATTTTGCGGAAAGTCGACGACGTCTCGTTTGTTTTAACGGCTTTAAAGATGAATGGAGGGCAAGGTAATGCTTCTAATAACCAAATCTAAACGATACATATCTTTTTAATTATCGAGTTAATATTGTTGATTTCTTGACGCAAAATTAAAATTTATCTAAACACCATAGAAGCTTGCTGCAATGTTTGCACTGTTACTGCAATATTGCTGGAACATTTCAATGTTGCTGCACAGAATGACCTATATAAATAAGTAACCCGATATTTTGACTATTAAAAAAAAACAAACTGCTTTTAAAAGAGTAAAATAATATTTTTAGGGCTAAAAATGTGCAAGTACTTATTCTTTGCGAATGGCCGAAGGCAACGTTTGATCCGCAAGAGATTCTGCGAGAATTTACGTTCTTACGAAAGTTGATAATCGCAAATAGTAACTTAACTCGATTATCAACTGCATTTCCGAGAGAGATGCAATTTCTGGAGGTAGAAAATGTTTGCCAAATGGAGAGCAAGCGAAAGCTTTGTCTAGACTTCATTAAAGTTGCTTATTTGAATTTTCATGGACAATGCGCGGGACAGTTTTAACATTATTTTCATTAAAGAATAGGATACAAACTCAGCAGACTGTCTCGGAAAACATTGATCATGAAAATTTGCTTTTATCGCGAGATATATTTGTGTTTTATCTCGAGAATATTTGCGGGAGCCTGGAGAAAATGTTTATATTAATAGAAAATCAATGTGACCGGCACCAAGCTGCGTTTACTACCGAACGATGCGTTCACTAATCTCCGGACTTTGAGATGCCTTGACTTAAGAAACAATGCTTTCGAAGAGATCAGTATTACGGTTTTCGATGTATCTACATTGAAAGATATTTATCTGGCCGGTAAGAATAATCCGATAAAATTTTTGACACAAATTTGTCAAATAAACGAATTACGATTTTAAACAATATGGTAAATTAAAAAATTAGATTAATTATATTTTTGGTAAAAAATGCCGTGTAATATTTCTGTAACGCTAAAACTTTTTTACGTGATTAATGAATTGTTTAATCAAAATTGCATTCGATTGATGCGCGAATCGTGGATAATTAATGAAGATGTACTGACGAAGGTAATCCATTGAGATGTACGGAAGATGTAGCGTGGATTTTGGACTCCAGTGAAGGATCAGCCGCGAGTAGAGTCGTCGACAAAGACAAATTACTTTGCGCCACGCCGTATGATGGAAGACCGCTTGTCCCGATTGTCGAGATAATCGTGGTAACGAGAAAATGCATCTTCTTCTTGTAACTGATGATTAAACAGATCTTGAGTTCCCCGCTAAATCAATCTGATTTTCAGACACTGAAGGAGGAATGCAAAGAGACAGTTTGCGCTTGCGAATTGATTTACGTGGTTGCACGTGCAGGCAAACTTACACAGAGACAGCTCATAGCTTTTACTTCAGTCAATTGTAGTTACCGCGGTTTAATGGAAATGCCCGAATTTTTACCCGCAGATACAACGACTCTTCATCTAAGTGGAAACAAGGTCATTTAAATTTACACAATTCTCCTCCTTTCAACAATAATTTTTACAGACGCGTCATATAAAGTAGAATTACAAAACGTTACAAATATATATGTGATTCAATGATACGTAAATATGTTTCAAAGAATAACTTATATTATAAAATATTAAAATATAAACTTATTATTTTTAAAGAAAAAATTATACAATTTTATCTATATTTTTAAAATGTAAATAATATATTCCCAAAAAGAATGAATATAAAATATTGAAAATTATTTCCTTTCTTACATAATGCACTTTCCATATATAAATTCACATATTATAAATGATTCGCATATTAGATGGTGGTTAAAATACTTTAATCTGGTCCGTTGTTTACTGTAGATCAAGGACCTAACTCCGCTTGCGACAAATCCCGCTTACAAGTCCGTGTTAGACCTCTACATAGACGATAATCTGATAGAATCTATCGCTCGCTTAGAAGGATCAGACTGGCTGGACCGTTTCCGACTCCTTAATCTTCGAGGGAATAAACTTACCGATGTTAGTTCGCCATGTCAAAATTATCAGATGTCACGTAAGCAAACAATCCGTTTTATTTGACGGATGTCGAGGTAATGAAAAATTATTTAAGTTAATTTCGTGCAACGGTAGACAATTAAGAATTGAAATAAGCGATTTAGGGAGATTATAAAATATCACGCGCTGTTTTTAAATCAACGTACTTACTATTTCGTCATTGCATGAGATCACCAATACAGTTTGTAATTCTTTGGTCTGCGTCTTTTAGTTGCCTACTTACGCTCTGGAGAATGCATTGCTACACAACAGCAATGCAGCTAATTTGTATCTCGGCAATAATTCGTGGACGTGTGACTGTCATTTCACACCAAGCTTTCAGGTTATAATTTAATTAATACTGTAATTTATTTTTCAGGTAATAATTTAATTTATTTGATAATATAGAGGGTGTTGCAAAAATTTATAGTTTAAAGTACTATAGCAGGTTCTCAAAAATTTTAGTAAGGTGATCATAATTCACAGGTGACCATTTAAAGTAGTCAGAAATATTGGCCATACTTAAACCATTACACATCTCTGAAAAATTATTGCATAAAATAAAAATTCACAAATTTCTTTTAATTTTCCTGCTATAATATTTTGAGTCTCGAATTTTGGCATCCTGTACAGTACGTAGTTTTTATACGAGTTTTAAAATTAATTGCCAATAAGATTGCAGGCATAATTACATCATTTTATTCTAGTAAATTTCATGTTCAATCATTTTAAAGAATCAAAATGGATAGAGTGTGATATAAATAAAATAACATTAAATTTAATTTTACTTTCCAATATTGAAGTATTTACAATGTTTTGTGTAAATTCCTTGCTTCTAATTAAAAAAAAAGTCTGAATCTACCATTGTACCAGAGCTTAATTATTATTAATTGTATGCTTTTATTTAACATTTTATATAGGATCTTCTGATCAGACATCCAAATATAATAAAAGACATCAACGACATAAGATGCGCTTTTACGAGCGACAGCGATAACTCAAACAAACAGGTAACTGCACATCTTTTTTATCAAGTCAGATTAAAAAGCAGACGCATGAATAATGCAATTAAAATGCAATTGCGTTGTGCTTTAACGTAATAAAATGTCTCTTACAGATTCGTGATCTTACGCGGACGGAGATCTGCATTTCATCAAACGAAGATTCTTGGCTTCATCCCCTCGACATTTTGAACATCATATTGGCGTCATTAATATTCCTCGTGCTTGGCAAGCTTTTGTATGATTATTGGTCTTTTAAGAAAACCGGAAAGCTACCTTGGATCGTCGCCAAAATACCATGATAGCGGTACAAGTACCTCTTGCAAAAGAGTGTTTGAAAGTTCGAGTGCTTGATCATTAGAGTAACAATGGAGATTGTTGTGTAATGAAGGGATGTGTAATGAATATATCTACATCATATTTTTTTACTTATAAAATGTCCGATATTTTTTCTTGTAAATTGAGTATACTAATCTTAAATTTAATTAAAATTTTCTAACATGAGTTATGAATACTAAATAAAGACAAGATACGAGAGAGAGAAAGATCGGAAATTTAGATCAAATAAAAAATTTCAACATGTAAAATCTCCGAAAACTATTTATATATATTTTTACGTTTATTTAAATTTTATTATCAAAGATAAACCAAAAGAGTAAAGTAGTACATTATATTGTAATAATTGATTTTTGAGCTTATGTTCATTGCTGCTCCTTACAAAAATATTTCTGATATAAATTTTCAGCAGCAGCAATTTTAGCGCTATCTATCCTCGATTTTTGTCCTATAAATAAATAATAAATTATATTAAATATTACTACTAATATAAGTATTTAAGAAATTTATTGTATAAAAAAGTGTTATAAAAATTATGTTTAGCTTTTCTAGAACATAAAATGTTTTTTTGAATGTTACAAACAAAATGTTATAATAACAAACTAATTCCATGATAAAACTTTAAAAAATGTTGACTTAATGATTCCTTTTATTATTATTATTCATAACCAGGTTATAGCAAATGAGAAAATAACGTACCGACACCGACATGACCTAAAGCTGCGCAATGAGCTGTGTGCATAATCCCTTGATGTGTCATCAAATTGTCAGTAGTATACTCCGGAATAGATTCTCCTTTTTCGAGACAAAGTTTGTAGAGTTTTTGTGACGCGTTCTTCAACTCGCCTTCAAGTGCAACTATTTCTAACATCCTGTCATAAAGAGAATGCGTCAAATTCTATTTTACATAAAGTCGATTGTTTTTCGAGCGTTGCTCCGGAAAGTTTTATATCATCGTAATCCATATCATAATTTTTCTTATATTTTTGCACCATTAAACTTACTCATCCCTCGAGAAATCTAATAACCCGCTGACAGATTTCGAGCCATCCATCTGACGCACGGCTATCATCCACAATATTTTTGCCGCACATTCGTTTTTGGCCAGATCTTCGGTCGCGGCACATGACATTGCTGGCACATTATCCAAACTATGTTTAACAACGTGTAAAGAAGCACTTGCAACATTTTATATATCGGACTTATAAACAATAAGTAGAAGTTATTAAAATTATTGTTGAAGAATAATTGCAATAATCCAGTGTTGTTGATTAAAAAAGTAATACTTAACGTGTGTGTGTGTGTGTGTGTGTGTGTGTAACGTAGGTGATAATATTCCTTGCAATCTGTTTGAAGGAGCTACGAAGTATAATATTTACCGCGAAATCCACACAGGTCACCATTTATCACATACAAATTCGGTTTTGATTTATTGCAGTTGTATTTGATTGGCACTTTACACTGCTTCGCATATTCTTCAAGGATAGTAAACGGTGAGCGATGATTTGCAGAACATCTTGCAACACTGACCTATATTATTTAAACGTTTACTTTATTGAAGCAATAAGCGTAATTTTAAATAAATCAGATTTACATTTAAAGATCTTGTCGTTGGATAAAAAAGTAAAATTAAGAAATATATTTTTATCCATATATAAAAGCTTCTGTTCCAAAACATTCGCGTTGCAATATTTTATCCACCTTATTTAATTTTCAGCTATATTACATTTAAATATAACATAAATATTTTAATATTTAAAATGTTTGTAATAAGGCTCAATATGTTTTTAAACAATTAATATAGAGAAACAGGGCAATGAGCCAATAAATTAAGTTAGAAATATTTTTAAATTAATTTGATGTATTTTAATATCTATTTTTGATTACTTTTTCATCATTTTTATCACAAGTGTCATCATCATTGTTGACTTTCAATGATTGATCATCTATATTTTTGTCGACGCTTGGTCTCATTTCCGAATCGTTATCATCTGAGAGGCAATTAAAACAACATTTATTATTTATATGTAATTAAAAGCGAAATAAGCTTTATATCTTTCATATTATCATAATATTTACACAATGCATTATCAGTTATGTTTGTCCATCCTTCCAAGCTATTTGCTTCACCCACTGCTTTCATCAATCCTAAATTATAAACATAATTTATTAAAACAAGCAATATTATAAATTTTTCCCATATTTACGAATGTGTAAAATATTTTTTTTATAACCGCCGTCGCGCTCACGTTCTTCTGAATTCACATCGATTGCTTCGTCAACATTATCCTTTATGTCAGTATTTGATTCCTCTTGGGAATTGTGACATTTATTCATCGAGCTTGTTTCAAAATGTTGAACAATGTCGTCGATTCTTAAAGGTGAATTCAAATGATATTCCTGAGGTTTCTTTTCGTACTGAATAGATTGCTCATTACAACGTCGAAACTCTAAATCCGTTTGCTTTTCGTGAATATCGTGCACCTTCAGTTGTGTTTCAACGTTCTCGGTGATTTCGCGATGTTCTGAAATCTTGGAGGAAAGAGTACATATTCCTTTTTTTATTTAATACAACGAGCAATGACAGCGTGTAACAATAAGTGGGAAAAATATGCGGAAAGCTACGTACATTCGTTTCTTCGGCAAACGATTCTATGTCGGATACCATCGAAATCGTCGCGTTAGATTCCCGAGAATCCGGTGTGTGAAACGAGCTGGACGTGTCTGTAATATCGAGTAAGCGTCAGATCCTGCGAACTAGCACAAAGTTAGACAATATTGCCGCGCTGTAAATTTTAAATTCAGAATTGCTGAAATTTCTCGAATATACTTGAAAGCGTGATGACATGAAAAATTATTATGCATAATTTGACAAATAAATTCTCTCTGCCTGTAAATTATAATTGAAGATATGGATGCAGCAAAATTACGGAAATTAGCTTATTCGTCGCGTCAGATTACGTCGCAAATTTCCGAATGGGCTCCCTTTAATCATTAAACGCTAGATTGACAAAATCGAGCAAATGAAGGATTATTCCAGATAACAATTTGGTCAATAAGTCCGGCACAATTGAAAGGATAAATGAATGTAGGTCGTGTATGAACCATATATACATTTCTATGAAAGATAAATCTTCCTCGTGAATAAATTACTTGTGTGTTTCCCATTATATCATGTAATACCATTAATTTAATAACGTGATAATTACAATGAGGTTAGCCGAGTGCACGAATAAATGCAGGCTATTTGCATAATTGGATCACGCTATTGTAACCATTAATTTAAAGCTTAAGCTCGTTATTTTAAACATGTTAAACTGAGTATACTAAAATTCCCCGAGACTTGTTTGCCTGTCATGCACATGCATGGAAAAATTGCCTTCCGGGGTCGAAGAATCGCATACCATTTCCCTGAGTGCAAGGCGTTTTGAGCTGCTGCAGCAGATCTTCCGCTCGTTCGATCACTGTTTCCATCTCGCAGAGAAGCGGTGCCGCATTTGGAAATCGCCGCGTGATCGTGTCCCAAATGACCTCGGCATCCTCGACACCGTGCAGTGATCTCGGTGGTTCCAGCTTGCCGTGTACCGTCGTATCAGTGAACGATGCGCTCCCGCTGGACATTCGAGGATCCCGTCTTTTCGCGAGTCTGTCCGCGACGTGATGAATATTTCATCGAGATCGGGGCGATAAATCTGCCGGATTGTAGACGAGCGGTTTTACGTTTTTCGTGGACGGAAAATTGACGGATGCGGAAAATGTCAAGAAGCAAACAACGTAGGAGCGCGATGTCATCTTGATGGCGATCAACCGTGCATATCTTCCGCAGTATAAATTTTTTGGATTGCACGAATAAAGGTAAAAACAGTTTGCTTTATCATTAGTCCAAAGATAGAGGTATTTGTATTAAAGATTTAAAAATTAAATTATATTCTATGTGTCAATTTTGAATATTCTGCTGCTTTTAATACAAAGCGATCGCTTTGCATTTTGAAATTATTTTTGTTACAATAAATATTAAAATATAGATTCTATATCAATATAGAATCGCTTAATGTGTGGCAGTTAAAAATCTATTTATAATCTTATAAAATAAGTAAACAATAACTTTAATTCAAAAGGAACTTGTTAACGTTCTAATCACGTTTTAATAAAAAAAAATTTGCAGTAAAATTTTTTTTACGAAAATAAGTGCTGTAATATTCATATCTAAATTTTTTCAAAACATTTTTTTTCAAATTAAAAATAAAAAAAATCTTTTTATTATTGTTACTGTAATTAATGCTGCGTTGTTTTTCTCATAAAATGTGTACATTGAAAACAAAGTTTCGCAAATCATCTCAAAGACATACAAAAAATTGCATGAAAATTTCACGAGGTATTGCGATATGATGTGAATTAATAAACTTAAATTATAATTAACTAGAATATAAATAATATTCTTTTTTTTCAAGGGATTGCGATTGAAAGAGTCCCTACAATTGTTTTATTAAGGAGTTTTTATCGAGGAGAATTGATCTAAATATATATATATCAAAAGTTTCTGGACGTTCACACTGTACATGAAAAAGAGGAAATAGAGGGAACTTCTTTAGCAAAAATTACAATTATGTTAAAAAACTTTTTTATCTTCATTTTTTTATAGATGTCCTTAAATTTATTTTTTAAATTTATGTATTCAGTTAACTATATTTTTTTCAGTAAATATTACTATAAATTTAAATTATTATTTACTTAAAAAAATAAAACGTTTTTAAAAATATGAAAATTTTAACAATAAAATTAATTTTTCTTGTTGCAGTCATTATTCATTGAACAGATTTATGTAGAACAAAACTTTGGACATCGTGAATTATATGTCTTCATGAATATACATAAATGTACTCGAAGAGAAAGTTATATTTCTGAGAAAGAACGAAACAATAAATTGATTAATAATGCATTTCCCACGGCTGGTCTGATGAGTTTCTTTAACGCGATGGTATTTTATTAAAATTATAAACACGGGATTACAATACATCGTGTAACGCGTAATACTTGCTTAGAAACGTCGTTGAATCAAGGCCTCTTTGATTCAAAACTCTTTACCATCCACTTTTTTTTAGCTACGTATGTGCGAGCCGGTTTGTGCTACGGCATTTTTTTTCCTTTTTTTGGGTTTTTTTTTTCGTGTACGTTCTTACATACATGCATAGTACTATAGTTTCGTAATCGTAGGACGCATTCTCGATTGAGCGCGACATGGAGTCGAGTCGTCGTACCGTATAAATCCCATGATGACTACACGTTCCACAATAGATTTTAGATTCATATCCGACAGAGAAATTAAACCCAATGCTGATCCGCCTCAGTTTATTACGGCGACAACAGGAACGACTTTCCGTGGGTGCTTTTAAAGGTCGATTTATATATCTTAACGTTTTACCAAGAAGATACCGGGAAAATAATATAAATCGTCGTTCCCTTGTGAATAGAAAATGATGCATCCCACAATGTTTATTACGTCGGTTTCCGTCGTCGAAGGACTTACGCGTTTACTTATTTATAGACAGATTTATCGTGAACTGCGAGAAAACCACCAACTCGAGGGTATATAAAAAATTTCGTGTGAAACGCTTCCTCTTCTTTTCCTTTTTGACGGAATTGTATATAAAGGGAAAATTGGGGAAAATTTCTTTTCGAAAGGAAGTCGTCTCGATTATCCGTGAAAAGATGACTTCGCTGTTTCAGTCTCGACTGTAGTGATGGATGGTGTGACGCGCTTAAATTAATTTCGAACTTTCGATATGTTAGAGTAAATTTTAACATGTCTTTAATGTGGCAATCTCGCGCGGTTAACACATCGAGGAGCCTGGCGAGGGCACAGTTTCACTTCTGATGCACGCTACGTTTATTCGCTAGTACATTACTCGTTATCGGATTCCGTGTCTTATAGCGTACAGAACGTTATATACTCGGACAGTTTTTCGTATTCGGGTAGAAAGAGACTTATAAAACTTTATGAATAAATAATAACTGCGGCAGTATTCGTTGGTAGGCGATGTCCTTACGTAATGAATTATTCACGGAGCAATTCATGAGACTGGCGAAAAAATATCTTAACGCGGCCGACGTCTCTGCAGGAATTTTCAAATTGTGGCAGGAAGTGTACATAAGTCTGTAAAAATACCGTATCAAAATGTACCGCAATTGATGCTAAAAATATCAAAAATTGCAATTATAACTCCTATTCACAATATTACTGTTCTTATATAAAATTCTTCAATTAATTGCTGTCTAAAATAATCAAGTTAGAAAATGTTTTCAGTTCAAAATAGAAAAAAAAAATGCAAATATATATAAAATCGAATCGCTTCTTTTTATAACCATTTTCTTATACGTTTCTAAAAGGTTAAAGGGAAGTATATAAAATTTTTCTTCACCCTAATTTGATTACGTCAAATTCTTACTTTTGTCGACTTATATCGTTTTTTTCTAGTTTTCACCATAAATCTTGAATTAATTTTTAATCAAATTTTCTATCAAAGTACGTATATTACGTTCGAAAAGTCGTGAGTTTACATCCCGGACTTGGACCACGTCTTTTTGATTCGATTGATGATCTAAAAGTTACACACTTGGTCGCGTTAAGATATCGATGTTGCCAAAGAAGAATTCCATTAGAAGATCACGATCCATCTTCGGCGATGGGTTTTCGAGGATGCGCATGTGAATTTACGCGAGAGATTTATTTCCGATTGTTGATACGCTTACTTCTATCACAGCATACAGACGTACGTTAGACGTGCTTTACCATACAGTGTCTATATAACAGGCTAACGCGTGGAGACTGCGCGTCCATTTGCTTAACAGGATTACGGTGTACATGTTCCTGTAGCATTCAATTAATTACACGTAGATATCTACGTCTCATTCAAGCGCGTATCGATACCGAACCTAGATTACTGAAGTTATCTACACATTATTCCATAAATTATACCTATAAAGTTCAAAATATCGAAAACTACAGGTAATATAAAAAAAAATAATTGTCGGTTCGACGTTGAATGGAATGGGATCGAGCAATTGTATCGTAATGTATGAACATATCGTAGTTAACTGAGATTGAATTATTCATTATACAACAATACAATGCATTATAATATAAAGATAATAGTATCGGATTTGTAGGTAATTCGAATCAGATCGTAGAAAAGCAATTTGTGAGGTGGGAATCGATTTGTATTTAATTATCGAGTTTTTTTTTGTCGTAACATTCGTTAAAGCCAATAATTTGATTCTGATCAAAATATGTCATAATGTTAAATTACAAATATACGATGATATTCAATTAAATTATAGAAATTACAAATTTAACCTACACCTTTCAACGGTAAAAGAAAATACACAGTCCAGAGTGCAGTCATCCTGATTTGGAACAATGTATCGCGGCAACGTAGTTCAAGTCTACGGCTAGTCCGACCGCAGGCTAACCATAGGTGATCTAACGAGAAAATGAGATCATACAGGTGTGAAATGCGTGAGTCCAATTGTAACGATCATTAGGATAGATCTTGCGCTAAGATCACGCCAATAGGGCGTAATCCTCCTTATCACGACTCTCCTTATCAATTCTTTCTTTCAATTCACAAGAATGTGATACCGATGAGTGCGAATCGTCGGAACGATATGCGATCGGGATCAGAGGAATACAAGTAATGTATGCTCGACCTTTACCCCGGCACGTTCGCGAATATCATTCGAATGTCATTCACGGTGTCGTGACTGCTCGCGTATCCTCACTTATGCTTTCCCGTCTATCGCATCGTCATTCACACGTAAGCTATCGGTGAAACGCTTCTCTCGCGCTTTGGCGCTCGCACCATCGTTCTATTCTCTTTTCCCTTCATCTCGTTACTTTTATCGTCGTCCTCGTAGACGTTTACGACGTTTGCTCGATAACCGACAGAAAGTGCACTCAACGGAAACGGCGTATCCTACGTCTCTTAAAAGCATTGCGTACGCGTAAACGCCAATTTCGCCGCTCTTCGTTCACTCGCGCGTATCTTTCGTCTTTTTTTTTCTTTTTCTTTTCATTTTACTCCTAAATCGTGTGTATCTAAACCTACCATGATACTGCGGTGTTTATCGTAAATGTCATATACACGAGCGTACGAGGTGCGTTTACATCAACCTCGCGACTCCATTCCGAAGGACTGCAGGCGTTCCGTGGCATCCATTCTTGCCACGACTATCATCCACCTCGGTCTAATGAGTCGAATCGCGATCTGCTTATTCAAGGCAAGCCGATCGTTATGATTCGATTAGAGAACTCGACTATACGTTTGCCATTATAACCAAGTGGCTATCAAGCACGTCTCGTGCGCTCGCTTCTATGCGCTTCGGATATATTCTACGGGATTTCGTACGATTACTGCGAGAGTATGTATACGTGTGTATGTGTGTGTGTGTGTGTGTGTGTGTACGTATGTAAGTCTGTGTGTGTGCCTTTGGGATAGGAGTGTTTGGCTGCCGTACACTCCGGTCCGTTACTCAGGGGTTGATGGGAAGTGAAGGAGGTGGGGGTG